GACACGGCAAGGACGGACCGGGGTACCACCAGAGTCAGCAGACTCCTCAACGGGGACAACCGACGGGAGGGGAGTGACGTGGGAGACACCAGACGGGGCAGGACGAGGCGGGAGAGGGGCAGGGGCTACCGGGGGAGAGGGAGCAAGGAACATGGGGGGGGCAACTGGGAGACCTCGGTGAGGGAAGCGGCGGTAGAAGGAGACGGACTCGTCAAAGGTGACGTCACGAGAGTGGAGGAAGCGGTGAGACGGCGGGTGGTAGAAAAGCCAGTCAGACGAGTCCAGGGGGAAACCGAGGAAGACACAGGGGACAGTGCGGGCAGTGAGCTTGTCCGTGCCAGAGGCACGAACGTGAGCAAGGCAGCCCCAGACGTGGAACGCAGACGCGTCACTCGGGGACCCGGTCCAAAGGAGGGTCGGCGAAACCTGCGGCCGCTGGGAGCGTGGCCACAGGTTAAGCTGGTGAGCAGCGTAGCGAACAGCGAACGGCCACAAAAAATGGGGGGCATCGGCATGGATCATGGAGGTACGGGCGACCTCCATGACCAAGCCGATGCGGCGCTCAGCAACCCCATTCTGCTGTGGCGAGTCCGGCAAGGTGTACGACTGGGTGATGCCCTCCGCACGACAGAACTGTCCAAGCCGACCAGAGGCGAACTCGCCGCCACGGTCGGAGTGGAGACACAACACGGGGAGACCGCGGTGGAGACGCGCAGCAACAACCCACGGGATTAGAACGTCGGGCACGTCGGCCTTCCGCTCCAGGGGAAACACCGTGGTGTAGCGCGTGTAGTCGTCGACGAGCACAAGGAAGTAGCGCTCACGCGCGGTCCGGGGACGGGGGCAGGGCCCCAAACGTCCAAGTGCAGGGTCTGAAGGGGGGCAGTAGCAGGACGCAGCGAGGAGGAGTGAGGAGCACGGCGAAGCCGACCCTCGACGCAAGGCGTGCACGGTGGCGCAGTCGAGGGAGGAAGGGCAGGGAGCGACGCAGGGAGACCTAAGACAAGACCGTGCTGGGACATGAGACGCAGACGCGGGAGAGCAGGGTGACCTAAGCGGTGGTGCCAGAGAAGGGAGGGGTGAGCGAGGGACCGACACGAGCAAGCTGCAGCGACCTGGGAGGACGCACCAACCGGGGGGGAAGCGGTGTCTAGGGTAAACAGACCGGACACCGGGTCCCGGGGGAACGTCGCAAGGGGGGAACCTGAGACAGCCTCAGAACAGACAGCGAACCGCTCGTGCCCGGGGAACGTGGTGGTGACGCCGAGGTCCTGGAGACAGCCGACACCAACCAGGTTCCTGGAGAACGAGGGAACGTGGAGGCCAGTAAGGGAGCCTGAGGGAACTGCCGGACAGGGAAGGGACGTAGAACTGCGCGCGACGACCGGACCCGCAGAGGGGTCAGCGAGAGAGACAACAGCAGGTGCAGCAAGCGGCGTGAGCGTGGAACGGTCGCGGAAGAAGCAGGCAGAAGCACCGGAGTCGAGAGTGAAGGACAGCGCCGCAGTGGTGGAGGCCGGGGACGGAGCCGGTGCAGCGACTAGACTAGGCAACCTAGGCAGTCCTACGCCTGACGCAGCAGGGGAGGCTAAGCTACACAGTGGTGCAACACCTAAACTAGAGTACACAGGGTAATAAGATCCAGCAAAACTAGAAGGGTCAGAATACAAAGCATGCAAAGCAGCACCTAGCTGATCCATATCTAACTCAAAGATCGGCACGCCCTGGCGGAGCAGGCTGTGCCAGTCGGGGAGGTCCGGGGCCGGGCCAAAGCGACGACGAAAGAGATCGTCGAGGCGGCGGAAAAAGCGGGCGGTCGGGTGCGGGCGGCGGCAGAGAGTGCCGCGAAGAGGCCCGGTCTGAAGCTGGTACTGGCAGGTGACAGCACCGGAGCCGCCGGTAGACGCCAAGCTGCACGGGCCGCCACCACGGCCACTACCTCCGGAGGTGCCGGGCCAACCAGGCGAGAGACGGGCCCACTGCTGCGGCGACTGCTGCTGGGACGGTAACTGCTGCTGGGGCGGCGGCTGCGGCTGGGGCTGCTGCTCCTGCCCACGAGTGGTAGTCCCCGCAGGCGGATTACCGTCACCACCACTACTGCCACCACCACCCCTACCCCCCTGGCGACCACGGCCACCGCGGCGCGAGCGCTGCTGCGGGTGGACCGCACCAGCCGACTCGGTGAGAGGGGCCGCCGAGGCGACCGCAGCCGAAACGTCAGTGAACGCACACTGGGAGGGGGCACAACCGTGAAAGATAGAAACTGCCGGCGCACCGCTCGACTGAGCGATAGTGCGCTGGCGAGTCTCGATCTCGGTGAGGGTGTCGACAAAGGCAGTGAGAGTGAGGTCACCCGGGTGCTGGCTAAGAAAGTGATCGCGAGCACTAGCGAGGCGGTCTGGCAGGCGCATGGCGATAAAATAGAGCGTCATGCAGAAAGGGGGGGAGAGCGCAGTGAGCTGGGCAGCAGTGCTGGCAGTGCGATAGCGGGTCTCTAGGGCACGCAGGTGAGTGGCAAAGTCTGCGACGGTAGGGAAAGCTGCAAGGTCTGGGAAAAGCATAGGGAAGAGCAGGCGACCAGCAGAAGCAGACGCGGGTATGGAATAGCGGGCAATAACAGCGTCTAAGTAAGCTTTGGCCGTCTCAATAGTAGCAAAACGCGAGCGCTCAGAGACAGGGAGGGCGTGGCTAATGGCAACCTGAGCGACTGCATCGCGGGAGTCCCAGACCGCACGGGCAAGCGCAGCAGTAGAGAAGGTCTTACGGTCATCAGAGGAGGGATCAGCAGGGAGGGGAGCAGGTGCGGGGGGATGGGGGAGCAAGCCGTCGACATGGACAACCAAAGAGTGGCCATCCTGGCGCTGACCTGTAAGGTGGCGGCGGAGATCGGAGAGCCAGGCGGCGAAGTCAACCGCATGGCCCTCCGCGTCCAGTCGGAGCACGAAGTCCGCCATCGTGCAGGGTCAGCGGCACAGCTCCACAGGAACACAGCGACAGCCCCCTCCAGCACGGCGGCCGCGAAGCGCCTCAGCACGGGCGAGCAGAGGAGACGGAGCCCGAGGCGGCACGGCAGGACGAGCCGGGGCGAAAGGGTCAGGCAGGTGCGGTGGGGCCAGGCAGGTGCTGGCGAGGCCAGGAAGGCACGGCGGGGCCAGGCAGGCGCGGCGGGGCCAGGCAGGCGCGGCGGGGCCAGGCAGGCGCGGCAGGGCCAGGCAGGCGCGGCGGGGCAGGCAGGCGCGGCGGGGCCAGGCAGGCGCGGCGGGGCCAGGCAGGCGCGGCGGGGCCAGGGAGGCGCGGCGGGGGCCAGGCAGGTGCGGCAAAGCCAGGCAGGTGCGGCGGGGCCAGGCAGGCGCGACGGGGCCAGGCAGGCGCGACGGGGCCAGGCAGGGCGCGACGGGGCCAGGCAGGCGCGGCGGGGCCAGGCAGGCGCGGCAGGGCCAGGGAGGCGCGGCGGGGCCAGGCAGGCGTGACGGGGCCAGGCAGGGCGCGACGGGGCTAGGCAGGGCGCGACGGGGCCAGGCGGGCGCGACGGAGCCAGGCAGGGCGCGACGGGGCCAAGCGGCGGGGCCAGGCAGGTGCGGCGGGGCCAGGCAGGCGCGACGGGGCCAGGCAGGCGCGACGGGGCCAGGCAGGGCGCGACGGGGCCAGGCAGCGCGGCGGGGCCAGGCAGGCGCGGCAGGGCCAGGGAGGCGCGGCGGGACCAGGCAGTCGTGACGGGGCCAGGCAGGGCGCGACGGGGCTAGGCAGGGCGCGACGGGGCCAGGCGGGCGCGACGGGGCCAGGCGGGGCGCGACGGGGCCGAGCGGGCGCGACGGGGCCAGGCAGGGCGCGACGGGGCTAGGCAGGGCGCGACGGGGCCAGGCGTGCGCGACGGAGCCAGGCAGGGCGCGACGCGGCCGAGCGGGCGCGACGGGGTCAGGCAGGGCGCGACGGGGCCAGGCAGGGCGCGACGGGGCTAGGGTGGCGCGACGGGGCTAGGGTGGCGCGACGGGGCCCAGGAGGGGCGCGACGGGGCTAGGAGGCGCGACGGGGCTAGGGTGGCGTGACGGGGCTAGGGTGGCGCGACGTGGCCCAGGAGGGGGGGGGGGGGGCGACGTGGCTAGGAGGCGCGACGGGGCTAGGAGGCGCGACGTGGCCTAGCTAGGGTACGGGCGGAAGCGGTAGGTGGGGGATGCTAACCTACGCGTGATACCATGTCAAAGTGAGAACGAATGATTACTAGAAGTGGAAACCTAGAACAAATTACTAGTTGGTTGTACTCACTAGAAGCATACCTCAGTCTAGCCTAGAACTTCTACATAGATAATATGTATAAGTTGACAGACTCTTGCAATTCTGACTGTTGGGTTGCACGGTCAACGATCCACGACCGTTGCCCTTTCGTAACCTATGCAAGGCGTCGTCAACCTACGTCATCCATCGGTGGTACTGTAGGAGTGTTGACTCGGTGATCCTCGTTGCAGTCTTCACATATTCGTACACCCACGCAAGTCTCCTGAAAGGTCTTTAAGTTTCTTTATCATTTCCAACACCTCACAAAGTCTTGTCGGCTGCATATATGTGGAGATTCATTCAAAATGGGATTGTACTAGCAATCCAAAGTACCACAAGAGAGGTGGGTGTTCGATATTATGTGAGTTCCTTTATATACAGCGACTAAACAATGCGATACATCTATTTCCTACACCAAACCAAAACAAGATGTCACCAAAGAAACACTAAAGCCCATCACTTTCAGATCACATCATAGGGGAACACCTCGTACACTATTTTGGGCTAACCGTTTAACAGTACAGTAACGCTCAATCTTTGTCCCGCTGGTAGGTGGGGGCAACTTGTCCGTGCACCTGCCGCCAGAAAGGAATGCCTCACTCTCCCTGCCGTATGCACAGTGCACGATGCTTCGTTACACATGAATCTGTCCCAGAGTGGGACCAGGAGTCCAGTCAGCAGACCAACAGGCCAGACCTGAGCGTCTGCTGCCTGATTCGCGGTTGTTTGGTTCGAGTCGAGTCGAGACTCGAGGGAGTAAGCTAAGCTCTCTCTTCCAGATAGTGCCTGCCTGCCACATTCAGCTCAGTCCAGAATCTAGATGGGAGAACCAAGGCTCAGGTTCACAGGCAGGCTGTTCTCTCTACCCACTGCTTTGTAGACCACACTTGGCGAGGTGGGCGACGACTCGAGGCAAAGAAGAACTGGTCGAAGCAGAGCAGCTTTCTCGGTAGCACTGCCGCACGCTGACGGCCAGCGTTTCTGCCAGGAATCCCGCCAAGGCCGCGCATTTTCCGCCATGATGCGCCTTCTCCCGCCGTTGACGCACCGACTCCGCGCCAAGCGATCCATTCCCTCCCCTGCCGCCGCAGCCCTCCCGCCCGCTCACCCTCCGCGCGCCCACTCTCCGTCCGCTCCGCCCATTCACCCTCCGCGCGCTTCCCCCGTCGTGGCCGCCGCGGGCCTTCCGCCCTTCCGCCTGGCTCTCGCACAGCATGGCTGAGAGGCACGTGGACTGTCGCCGTCGCAATCGCCGTCGTCATCGTCGCAATGGCGTCGCCTGCGACTGCTGGGCGAGCCAACGTGCTAGATAACTTCCTCCCGCCGTGCCCCACCCTCGAAGAACCTACCAGTGCGCCTCCCCTACCCATCCCCTTCTCCCTCCCCTCGTTCCTCCCCCACCCCTTCCCGGCTCCTTCCCCCATGAACTCGAATTTCCTCTGTGTCTCCCCGCCTCCCGCCCCCCCTCCTTCCGCTTTCAACCACTCCGCCCCGACTGCTCCGTTCCCCTCTGGACCGGCAACCCGCCTTCCTCTAACGCCCCTGCCCCCTCCCTCAAAGCCCGCACTCCCTCCCCCCACTCCCTTCCCCCACTCCATTCCCCCTCCCCCTTCCCCTCCCTCCCTCCGAATCCCTCCCCTCCACTCTCTCGCCCGTCTCTCCCACTCTGCTGACTCCTGATGCTTCCCCTTCCCCGACTTCCCCCCCACAACCACCCCTCCTGCAGCCTTCAAGCGGTGGAGTGACCCAGCCACTTGGGGAGACAGCAGTTGACTCTCTCTTCTCCTCGGCACATTCCTCCTTCCCCCTCCCCATCTAATTCCTCATGCTCCCTCCCCCCCTCTCCCGCTCTCCCCTTTTCCCCCCTGCAACCTTCAAGCGCTGGAACAAGCCACGTCGGGAGGCGGCCCCATACCCGCCAGGGTGCCGCAGCCGGTGCCAACGTGACCATCGCGTGCGGGGAGGCTCTCCCGCTGGACACGTCACCCGTCGCCCTCACAGTGCTAAATCCCGATGCCTCCCTTTTCCTCCTCTCCTCCCTCCCCACCCTCCCCTGCAGGCTTTAAGATGTGGAGCGACCCAGCAACCTGGGGAGGATGGCTCATCCCTGGCCAGGGGGCTGCAGCAGGTGCCAACGTGACAGTGGCGTGCGGGGAGGCTCTCCTGCTCGACACATCCCCCATCGCCCTCACTCTGCTCAACATCCATCCACGTCTTTTCCTCCCTCCTCCCTCTCCCCTTGCAGGCTTTAAGAAGTGGAGCGACCCAGCAACCTGGGGGAATGGCCCCATCCCCGGGCAGGGCGCCGCAGCAGGCGCCAACGTAACCATCGCGTGCGGGGAGGCTGTGCTGCTGGACACGTCCCCTGTCGCCCTCACTCTGCTCAACATCCGGGGCTTCCTCCGCGTGCTCGACTCGCCTGCTCTCCCCAAGATCGATCTAAGCGCAGCCTTCATTGTGGTGCAGGGGAATCTCTCCATCGGCAGGCCGCAGCAGCACTTTCAGCAGAGGATCAAGATTACTCTCACGCCCAACCCCAACAACCGTGCCGACTATCTCTTCACCGAGAATCTCCCGGCTGAGCCCGCTTTTCCTCGCAACTTGGGACATAAGGCGTTTGCAGTGGTGAGTACGGCACACCCTTGGAATAATCCTGAGTAGAGTAATCCTGAGTAGAGTAATCTTGAGTGCGGCCGACTTTCATAGTGGTGCAGGGGTACCTGTGAGTCTGTGAGCTGTCCATTGGGACGCCTCTCCTCCACGCAGGAGAGGGTGAAGATCACTCTCACGCCAAACCCCATCAACCGCGCGGATAATCTGTTTACAGAGAATTTGCTGGCTGAGCCCGCGTGTCCGAGGAACCTCGGCCATAAGGCATTTGCAGTGGTGAGCTACAGGTGGTGAGAGGCATCCCTCCTCCCTTCCCCGGGCCCCCCCTCCCCACACCCCCAATAACCGTGCGGATTATCTATTCACCAAGAACCTGCATGGCCAGGTGGATTTGCTGTGCCTTGAATGTTCTGCCTCCCTTCATCTGTTGATCCCAGGTGGGCGGCCAGGTGGATCTGCACGGCATGCCAGGTGGCAGTAGCACGCCAGCGTGGACGAAGCTCACGGCAACAGCTCAGCCGAACGACCTGGTGATTACAGTGCAGGATGACGTCACCGCATGGCCCCTGGACGCCTTCGTTGTTGTCACATCCACCGACTACTTCCCCGACCAGGCGGAGGTGGTGGGGATCATTGATGGTAGGTGGGGATATGCAGGGATAGCCTGTCATGTATGGGAATATGGACGGTGTGTGGAGAGCAGGCTGTTGTCTCATCCACCGAATACTTCCTTGACCAGGCGGAGGTTGTTGGGATCATTGATGGTGGGTTGCGGGGTGTGGAGTGGAGGCAATAAACATGGAAATGTGAACAGTGAGTGGAAAGTAACAGTCTGCATGAGGGCTAGGAGGTGTCAGTCATATCCTCGGGCTACTCCCTGACCAGGCTGATGTTGTGGTGTGGGGATAGTCGACGGTTGTATGTGGTAGACAATGTGTGGGCGATAGGCGTTGTCACATTGACCAACTTCCCTGATTGGGAGGAGGTGGTGGAGATAGTTTGTGGGGGCGCGGATTGGAGGATAATAGATGGTGGTGTGTGGCATCTAGCCATGGAGGGGGGGTACTTGATTGTAGGTGGAGAGACCAGTCATGCACGGGGGAAGGTGCTTGTCACAGCGTACTCACCAGCTACTTCCTGCACGAGGGGGATAGTTGCCACAATGGCTGACTACTCCCGACCAGGCGGAGGGTGTGGGTGGGGATAGTCGACACAGTATGTGGGATTTGTGGGGGATAATCAAGTGGACCTCACGCATTATGCTCACCACCCACAGAACCCTTCCCCCTTGTCCCTTCCCTTCCTCTCCAGTGGTGGCTCTACCCTCCGCCGGTTCAAAGACCTTTCTCGTCACGCCTCTCCCTGCCTGAACTACTTCGGACTCCCCAAAGGTGTCCACGCTTTATGCTCACCAACCAAACCCCTCTCCCCTTCCGCCCCCGACTCCCCTCCCCCCACACCCCCCAGTGGTGGCTCTCCCCTCGGGCGGCTCCAAGATCTTCCTCGAGAAGCCGCTCCGCCTGAACCACTTCGGCGACCCCAAGGGCGTGCCGACGGGTTCGGGGGGTTCATCGACGAGCGGGCAGAAGTGGCCCTGCTCACCCGCACCATCGCCATCACAGGCACGGACGAGCCGGCACCGTACCACCGCGAGGGCGGGCACTTCATGGTTTTTTATGAGCCGCACCCCGCAGTTCATCGAGGGGGTGGAGTTTGCACAGATGGGGCAGCAGGGCAAGCTGGGGAGATATAACATTCACTTTCATGTGTGCGGGGACGACCAGGGGCGCAGCGTGGTGCGCAAGAACGTGATGCACGACAGCAAGCAGGTGAGGGGTGGCGGCAAGCAGGTGAGGGGTGGGAGAGTGAGCCTGTTTTAGAGATGCTACTAAATGCATGCAGCATGCAGCAAGCAGCAAGCAGCAAGCAAGGCCGTCAACACAAAGACCTCTATTTTCGCTGTATCCTCCTGTCTTGCTCGCTCTCCTGTGCTCCCTTCCCCCTGAACCAGCGCTGTGTAGTGGTGCATGCGGCCACGGCGTTCAACCTGATAGTAGAAGAGAACGTGGCCTACCACACGAGGCACTTGCCGTTCTTTGCCCTCACTATAAGGTCTCGTATGCTCCCTCCCTCTTCCCTCTCAGCACTGCACGGCAGTGCACATCACCTTCAAGCTGACAGTGCAGGAGAACGTTGCCTACCACACGAGGCAAGAGGGACCCGGATTGCTCTCGCTACATGGCCCCTTATGCTGCTCTTCCCCCCCCCCTCATTGTACCAGCGCTGCGTGGTATGACCTTCAACCAGTGCAGCGCTGCGTGGTGGGGGCACATGACCTTCACCAGACAATGGGGGAGAACGTGGCCTTCCACACGAGGAAGCACTGCTTCATGGTGGAGGAAGGCGGGGAGACGGACAACACAATGACCCTCCTTGCTCTGTTATTGCTTTTTCACATGCTCTCCCCCTCCCTCCCTGGCAGCGCTGTGTGGTGGTGCACACCACATTCAACCTGACAGTGGAGGAGAACGTGGCATACGCCAGAGGGGGCACTGCTTTATGGTGGAGGAAGGGCGGGGATATTCACAACCTCAAGACCTCTACTGCCCTGTATTCTCCCCTCCTGCTCTCCTGTGACCTTTCGCTCCTCCCGGGCAGCGCTGTGTGGTGGTGCACACGACCTTCAATCTAACCGTGCAGGAGAACGTGCGTACCACACGAGGGGGCACTGCTTCATGGTGGAGGAGGGTGGGGAGACTGACAACACCTTCCTGCGCAACCTGGGCATCTGGACCAGGGCAGGTGGGTCGGGGCAGGGTTTGACGTGCAGCTCAACCCAGGCAAATGGGTCTAGGAGTAGATTACTTGGAAGTTGAGGATGGGGAGGCGGGCAACACGTTCCTGCACAACCTCGGCATTTAGACGCGAGCAGGTGGGGTTCGTGCGGTGATGTGTTGTGCTGGTGGGATTGAGAGTGTCCATTGCAGAGCAGATGGGATGGGATGGATTGGGGTAGAGTACAGCAGCCCATAGAGAGGGGGGGAGCTTGCTACACGTTCCTGCTCAACCTCGCAGGCCCAGTGCCCCGCCCATCCTACTGTTGCCCAACCCTACAGTGGAGGTGCTCATCCCCCTCCCGTCTGACCTCACCAAGACCGAGGAGATGGACGACAACCCGTCCGAAGTCCCCAAGCCATCCCTTACCACATCCACTTCCTCCACTCCCCCCCTTCTTTCCCAGCCGTCTATGGAGGCCCTCGTTCCCCCCTCGTCCGACCCACCTAGACAGAGGAGCTGGACGACGGTCGGTCATCCTCTAATGTCCATGTTCCCCACCACACCCACCTCCCCTTCCCCCACTTTCCTTCCCGCCACCTCTTCCGCCCCCCCCCCCCGTTCTTTCCTGCCCTGCAGTGGAGGTGCTCTTTCCCCTGTCCGTCCGAATCCACAAAGACAGAGGAGACGGGACGACCAGCCATCCACCTTCCGACTGTGGCCACCGCACCCACCTCCGTTCCTTCCCCCTTCTTTCCTGCATGCCCTACAGTGAATCATCCCCCTCTCGGTCCGACCCAACCAAGACGGAGGAGACGGACAGCAATTTTCCAAGTCCTTACCACTCTGTGCTCCCTTTTGACCCCCGCTCCCATTGACCTCCCCACGTTTACTTCCCTCCTCCCTCCCGTTTTGCCTGCCAACCCAACAGTGGAGGTGTCATCCCCTCCTCGTCCGACCCACCAAGACGGAGGAGACGGACGACCGCCCGTCCACCTTTTGGATCACCAACCCCAACAACAACCTCATCGGCAACGTCGCTGCGGGCTCCGAGGACTCGGGGTAGGTTCTGATTCCAAGGACTTGAGGCTCTGGTTCCGTGCAAGGGTGAGTGGGGACGGACGGGGAAGAATTGAGTGACCCATCACAGACAGGGTCTAGCGGCAACCGCCCGTCTACCTTTTGGATCACCATCCCCAACAACAACCTCATGGGGAATGTCGCAGTGGATCCGAGGACTCCGGGTGTGCCGTGCAAGTGTCTTTTCATTCAACTCAAAAGTCACCCCGTGCTTCCGTGCAAGTGTGCGATCAAACCCGCTCTGAGCACCTGCTTCCGTGCAAGTGTGCGGTTGTGAGGTAAGAACGAAGCAGGAAACCATCGCGGTTAGGCGAGACAATCAACAGCCCCACCTAATTTGGGATCACCAACACCAACAACAACCGCATGGGCAACGCGGGTGTGGGTGCAAGACAGTGGAGTGGACCCTGGTGTCGCCAGCCAAATGCATCAGTCGAACGAATCTGTTTGGGTCGTTACTTGAAGCATCGAGGCAATTCAGCTTTTGAGGCGCCTCAAAAATCTGTTTGGGTCGTTACTTGAAGCATCGAGGCAATTCAGCTTTTGAGGCGCCTCAAAGATCTGTTTGGGTCGTTACTTGAAGCATCGAGGCAATTCAGTGCCACGGGCTCAGGGTGAATTACCCACACTGGATTTAATTGATCCCGCATGGCCAGTGGCTCCTTTGGCATCTACCGTTGCACTCCTCATTCCCTTGCTCCGTATCCCATAGTTCCCCCTCCACCCCCTTCGTCCATCGCCCCTGCTCCCCTCCCTCCTAATCAGCTTCTGGATGGAGCTGAGGGACAGGGTGCGCGGCCACCCTCTCTCAGCTACACCGGGCTGAAGGCCTCTGTGCCAGCCAACAGGCCCGTTGGCGTCTCCCTCCTCAAGCTGGCCGTTTGCGCTCTAACTCTCTCCGTGACCTTTCCTCCCTCCGCCCCCTTCTCCTCCCCTCTCCTCCCCGCAAATCAGCTACTGGATGGAGCTGAGGGATAGGGTGCGCGGGTTCACTCTCAGCTACCCTGGGTTGAATGCCACTGTACCGGCCAACGGCCCGTTTGGCATCTACGCGACAACGTGGCCCACAGCAACAGGGGACCGGGGTGGCGCACGTACCCCAAGGGGGTCCGGCCCAGGCAGACGTGGTCTCTGGACTCGCCACTTTCTCAGGTAGGGAAGGAATGGGAGCGAGAGAGAGAGAGAGGAGGGCCCCACAACAACAGGGGACCAGGGTGGAGGACCCACTCCAAGGGGGTGAGGCCCAGGTAGACGTGGTCGCTAATTGGTCCTTTGTATTACATAGAAGGAGTACAGACAAGGCATATGGACACGCACAAAGGTGAGTCTAACAGCCCGGGCCGGAGGATTCTCCTTTCTCCTCTTGCTTGCCCCACTCATCCATCGCAGTGGCAGCGCGCGGGGACCATCAGCAGATTGCTTCTCTGCAAGCCAGCTGGGGACGGACTGGTCTGTGCGTGCATGCTCAAGTGATAAGTGCATGTATGTGCGTGCTCCCTCACACGCCCCTCCCACTCACCAAAACCCATTCACCATTGTGCAGTGGCAGTGGAAGCCTTCCACGGGGACCATCAGTGGGCTGCTGCTCTACAAGCAAGCTGGAGACGGGTGAGTGCCACCTAGCCTTGATTGGAAATTTCCAAAAGAACGCTGATGGGTGGGTGGGGGCTCTGAGGGTGGGGGGCTCTGATGGGTGGGGGGCACTGATGGGTGGGTGGCCAGTAAGCGCATACACAACCACGCTGTGACCTATAGGCTCTGTACAGGCGTTGCAGGGGGTGTGCCTTCTTGGCTGGGGCCCCGGGCTTTAACGGCCAGAACTGGTGGGTGGGGGCCACTGGAGAACAGGATGAAACCTGCAAGCCGTGGTGGCTCTCTTGGCTTCTTCATCCCTCCTCTCGTCATGCACGATTGAAACAGCATCATCACGAACAGCATGTTGGCAGAGAGCCAACATGGCCTCAACCTGCTGGCCGGGCGGCACCTTATCCCCCGATCCCCCTCCTCCCCGCACCACCTTATGCCCCCGTCCACCACCGCACCACCAGCATGTTTGTGCAGAATTCGGACGGTGTCATCATCACCACCAACATCCCATTCACAGACAACCGGCACCTCTGGGGAACACGGGCGTGTGGTGTGGGTGACGACAGCACTTCGCTGCTCTATTCCCCCCCTCCCTCTCCTCCACTCTCTCTCCCTCTTCCTCTCTCCCCCCCCCCCCCCGCCAGTTTCGCCATGCACAACTCAGACGGTATCATCCTCACCACCCCAATAGCAGCACCTTCGCAGCTCGCTGACAAGACAACCGCCCCGCCAAGGGCTCGACCTCCTGGGGAGAAACTCGCCGGTTTCCCCCTTCTTCCATGAAAGATTTTTTAGTCGACTAAAAAATCAACTCGCCCGTTTCCCCCTTCTTCCATGAAAGATTTTTTAGTCGACTAAAAAATCAACTCGCCCGTTTCCCCCTTCTTCCATGAAATATTTTTTAGTCGACTAAAAAATCAACTCGCCCGCTTCCCCCTTCTTCCCCCGCTCTTCCTCGTCAGGTTCTTCATGCACAACTCTGACGGCATCATCATCACCAACAGCACCTTCGCTGACAACCGCCAGGGGCTCAACCTGCTGGGGAACACGGGCGTGCGCGTGACTGACAGCCGCTTTGTGGGGCTGTCGCCCAACTATGGCAACCCGCGCAACTGTGACTCCACTCCGCAGATGTGTGGCCCTGTGACGGGATGCGAGTGAGTATTGGGGGAGGGCTTAAAGGCGCAGAGGGGGTGCAGGTGCAGAGGGGATGAAGGTCGAGGCTTTGAGTGACTGACAGCCGCTTCATGGGGCTGTCGCCCAACTACGGCAACCTGCGCAACTGTGACTCCACGCCGCAGATGTGTGGGCACGTGACGGGCTGCGAGTGAGTACCAGGGGAAGGGGGCATGATGGAGGTTGGCAGAGGTTGACAGGGGTTGACAGGGGTTGACAGGGGTTGACAGGGGTTGACAGGGGTGAGATAATCAATGGAGTGTGTTTTGGCAGGGGGCATGTGTGTCTCCTCGCCCCGGATGTGTGTCCGTGTGATGGGATGCAAGTGAGTGAGTGCCAGGGTGCAATTGGATTGAGACAAGTGAGGAGGGTGAGAGTGACTGAGAGCCGCCTTGTGGGGCGTTCCCCCCAACTATTGCAACCCGCGCAACTGTGACTACATGCTGCAGACGTGCGTACTCTTCATTGATTGGCATGCATGGGCGCACGCACATGTGTGTTCGTGTGTTTCTGTAATGCAGGTTCCCCTGGCGCCAGGCCATCAGGGCCGGTCGCAGGGGTGAAGCCGTTGGGAGAACCCTCTCTGCAACAGCGTCATTGACCAGCATCACTCACCTTCAGTCGTTTTTGTTGGCATTCTCAACAGGTGATTGACCAGCTCGCCTTAAAATTCTGCTCATGTGTGTGCGTCTGTCTTCCTGTGAGGCAGGTTCCCTCTAGCCCCAGGGCAGCAGGGCCGGTCGCAGGGGTGGAGCCACTGGAAGAACCCTCTCTTTGGCATCATCATCGACCAACCCACCTTTGGATTCGACTTCTCCCGCGCTCATGCCATCTCCAACTGCCGGTGGGTGGCATTCTAGCCCACGCCTTTCATCCACCCATGCCCACCGTGCCTACATAACACCATGTCCAGTCTTCCACCGCACACATGCTGTCACCATGCTCTGATGATTGCATGGCATCTTCATATCATCAATGAGGCATTGCACTGTAGCATTGCACTGAAGCGTTGCACTGTAGCATTGTATTGTAGCATCACACTCGTTCAAACATTTCCATCCCTCCCTTCATTCTCCTGTCAGTTCCGCTCTCAACCCCAACAACCCGCCTCCTCCCCTCCACTGACTCTCGTCTCCCTCGCACCATCTCATCCCCACCCCCTACTCTCTCCATGCTCGCACAGTCTCAACCCCACCCACCCGTCTCCCGTCTCCCGCCCACCGTGCAGCTTCCACGCCTTTGACAGCACGTGCCGCCCAGCTGCTGCCATTGGCACGGGCATCAATGGAGCTCCCAAGGACACATGGGCCACCGCCACCAGCATAGCGGTGAGGCGCTTACCATGTGCCAGCTGCCGCCACTAGAATGCTGGTAGGGGCCTTGGCATGGCACTCATGTGCCGCATGCCTGATTGCTGACATGACATGGCGCCCTGCACCGTCCACCTGCTGCCATTGGAGCGGGCCTCAACGATGCTCCCAACGACACATGGGCCACCGCCATCAGCGTAGCGGTGAGGTGGTTACCATGTGGTGGTGATGGCCGTAGCATGCATGTGCCTCAAGCCTGGTTGCTGCCATGGGAGCAGGCATCAAGGGGCGCCCATGGGCACATGGGTCTCCACTCCACCACCCATGTGGCAGTGAGAGGCTGCCTTCCCTGCCGTGTGCTGGTTACTGCCACTGGTGGAGTGCGGTGGGGTTTGGTTATGCTGGTTTCAATCTCCCTGGCTATGGCTGGCTTCTGAGGATTCGACCGAGGCCTCATAGGTGACTCGCTCATCACGGCATTCCAAGCATCCCTTGCCCCCAACCCTGTCTTCAACCCTGTCTCCAACCTGTCTTCAACCCTGTCTCCAACCTGTCTTCAACCCTGCCTTCAACTCTGCCTTCAACCCTGCCTTCAACCCTGCCTTCAACTCTGCCTTCAACCTGCCTTCAACCCTGCCTTCAACCCTGCCTTCAACCCTGCCTTCAACCCTGCCTTCAACCCTGCCTTCAACCCTGCCTTCAACCCTGCCTTCAACCCTGCCTTCAACCCTGCCTTCAACCCTGCCTTCAACCCTGCCTTCAACCCTGCCTTCAACCCTGTCTTCAACCCTGTCTGTGTTGTGAGGATCCTTGCAGGCGGTGCAAGGCACGGACTCTACCAACCTGCTCTTCTTCCCTCCCCGCAACTTCACCTTCCCAGTGAGTAGTGCTAGCTACCTAGTACCTACCTCCATGCCACTTCCCTGTTCACTTCATCTTCACCTACCGCCATGCCAGTTCCCAGCATTCTAGGTGATTTTTTAGAATTCTCAAAAATCACCTACAACTTGTGAAAAATCTCGAAAATCACCTACTCGTCCCAGTTCCCAGCTAATTGTTGCCCCAATCCCTCCATGTTCTCTCATCAGCCAACCTCCCTACTTGCTTCTTTCTGACCTGCCACAACCTGCCCTCACCCCCTCTCATGCTACAGCCTGGCCAACCCCCTCTCATGCTACAGCCTGCCCAACCCCCAACCATGCTACAGCCTGCCCAACCCCCTCCCATGCTCTACCCATCAGAATCCCCTCAGCTCAACCTCCAAAGGCAACGTTCTAGCCAACAACCCGGCCCCTTCTGTTGCGCTTTTCTCTACTCCTACCTACCCGCCCCCATCCTCTGTTCTGTATTCCCCCCTCAGGGCGGCGATGTGAACGGGGGCAGCGAGGCCACAGACCTGTACACTCTGTGGGACCGGGACGGCTCGTTCCTCAACGCCTCGTTGGGCGGCTACCTAGTGGCCAACAACTCCGCCCTGCTGCCCCCTACCAAGCGCTTCCCTGCGTGCCGCCCCGTGCCGGCTTGGAACGCGTACGCGTGTCCCGGCACGTGCTACCGCACTGTGATGTTCACTTACTTGGAACCGGGATTTTCGGTGTATGAGAACAGCAGCGTGCCCGACACACGCAAACGAGGGGACTTCAGGTGAGGGAAGTGAGGAATGAGGAATGGGGAATGAGGGATGGGGAATGGGGAATGGGGAATGGGGAATGGGGAATGGGGAATGGGGAATGGGGAATGGGGAATGGGGAATGGGGAATGGGAATGGGGAATGGGGAATGGGGAATGGGGAATGGGGAATGGACGTGCATGCCTGTCCAGGCACGTGCTGTCCTCCTCGTATTCCCTCCAGTTTTCATTCCATCCCTATCCGCCGTATTGAAGCCTACACAGTTTAGGGTTTAACAAAAAGCCAGTAGCCCCGGTCAGGGAGCAATGCGCTAAAAACCCCTCTATCTACTACCCTTCTGCTAACCACTCCCCCCACCCCAGCTACCTCTCCACCCGTCGTGTTGAGGACGGCATGCTCATCGTGGTCATTACAGTGGTCGGCAATCGGTGCTCAGTGGCTAACATGTGGTTGGGAGCACGGCATGGGTTTGTGGTGCCGTTGTGAAATCCTCTATCTGTTCCTTCCCCCCTCCCCCCACCTCAGCTACCTCTCCATCCGTCGCATTGAGGATGACGCAGTCCTCACAGTGGATGGCAATCTGCGCTTGATCAGCAACATGGGTTGGGAGGACAGCACGTTGCTCCTGGTGCCTCTGGTAGCTCACTCCTCTCGATCCACTACCTAGCCTCTATCTGTTATCCTCTCCCTGCTACCCCCTTTTCCCCATTCCAGCTACCTCTCCATCCGTCGCATTGAGGACGATGCAGTCATCACTGTGGACGGCAATCTGCGCTCGGTCGGCAACATGTGGGCGGCGGGGCAGCGGATCTTCGTCGTCCCCCTGCTGGCGAACGCTACCTACGAGGTCAACGTAGGGTTACCGAGTAATAACCAGGCGTTCTTCCCGTCCAACATCACGGTGCAAGTGCGCGACAGCAACGGGTGCGGAGGGCCGGTGACTCTGAGGATCCCGGCAAGGCAGAGCAACCAGTGGGCGATCAACGAGGAACAGGATGTCAACTGGAAGTGAGTGGGTGGTACTTGTGCTGGTACTTGTGCTGGTACTTGTTGTGGTCCTTGTGGTGGTACTTGTGGTGGTGCTTGTGGTGGTCCTTGTGGTGGTACTTGTGGTGATGCTTGTGGTGGTACTTGTGGTGGTACTTGTGGTGGTACTTGTGGTGGTACTTGTGGTGGTACTTGTTGTGGTACTTGTGGTGGTACTTGTGGTGGTGCTTGTGGTGGTGCTTGTGGTGGTGCTTGTGGTGGTGCTTGTGGTGGTGCTTGTGGTGGTGCTTGTGGTGGTGCTTGTGGTGGTGCTTGTGGTGGTGCTTGTGGTGGTGCGACTGTGTGTTGATGGTATGAGGGGCTGGGCCGGACACGTTGATGATTCCCGCCAGGCAGAGCAACCAATGGGCGATCAACGAGGAGCAGAATGTGAACAGGAAGTGAGTGGCGCTCTGATGGTGGTGCTACTTATGGTGGTGCTGCTTTTGTAA